AAAATGATGATGGCAACATATAAATGTGCTTGACACGATGGATGTATGGATTGTGATGAGACCTGTGTGAACCCCCAATACAATGATTTTTAAAATTATGTTTGGATATATTTTTATCACATATAAAATATTGCATAACTTTCCATTTCACACATACCATAAATATATTTTCAGTCAGTAGATTTATATCTACAACTTTGTTTTCAGTTAGAAGCCTGGTGGTGTTGTGGTTATGCATTGTGTTGCTAACTGCAAGGTCAGCAGTTCAAAACCAGCAGCCACGCCACAGGAGAAAGACAGGGCTTCCTAACTCCTGTAGGGAATTACAGTCTAGGAAAAACCACAGGGGCAGGTCTGCCCTGTCTTTCAGGGTCACTGTGAGTCCGTAACCAGGTAGTAAGAGGGAGTTTGAGTCCCTCCTGTCAACACTAAGTAAGAGTACCCATTTCCCCATAGTTTCTCAGCATTGCTGAGTTTTATTCTTCTTCATCTCAGCTTAATCTGATGGTGGGGTATGTGATAAAATCTTGTTTTGACATGCATTTCTTTCATTACTAACTAGTAAGGTTTTGGGTATCTTCTCATTTATTTATTGGCCAATTGGTAATTGTATTAACCTCCATTTTCTAATATGTCATTTGACTATTTGACTTTTAACATTTTAATATTTACTCCATCTGATTTTAATTTTATATAAGGTAGGAATTTAATTTTTTTAATCAAGGGATAAGCAAGTTGTCCCAATGCCATTTATTAAGTAATCCAGCATATTCTAAACTTCAGTACACCAAACTAAAACCAAACTTATTGCCATCAGGTTGATCCAATCCATAGTGACCCTCCACACAAATACCCCAAAATAGTAGACCCACTGAAAATAGAATTGATTCTGGCTCATAGTGATCCTATAAAGGGTTTCGAAGGATATAAATCTTAACAGAAGCAGAGAGCCTCGTCTTTCTCCTGAGGAGCAGCTAGTAGGTTCAAAATGCTGACCTTGTGCTGGTGCATTTGAACTACTGATCTTACATACAGTTAGCAACCGAATGCTTATTCCACATTGCCACCAAGACTCCTTTCAGTGTGCGGTTGAACAAAGTTAGCGAGTTGATTGCAACTCAAATGGATTCTCGAGGATGTGGGAGGCTTTGTAAATCTTTAGGGGAGCAGACAGCTTTCATGTTTCGTCCATGGAGCAGCTGGTGGGTCCAAAACGCTGACTTGGGGCTAGCAGTTCAATGCTTAGCCAACAGTGACACCAGAGCCCTATAATAGGTGGTAATTGTTAATTCTACCAGATACTCTATCCAAAAGAAAACGTTCAAATTGACTCTCTTTTTTAAAATTCAATTTGTTAGGGGAAAAGACCAAAAAAGGAGCTAGATGTGTTTTATAGAACTTCTCTCAGCCTCTAATTTGCATGTGTGTATTTGGAATCTTCTATAAAGAGTTTCAGGATGTTTTTGTTGTTGTTTTTTAACTGTAAAATCTTTTTTTTTTTCCTTCCAAAAAATACTTGAGAAAACCCATTAATTGTACTCTCCAAAGAGTCTATTTAAAGTTTCATTTAATTTTAAAAATCGATTCCTCAACATAGGAGCCCTGGTGGCATTTTCGGGTTAATGTTGGACAACTAACCACAAGGTCGTTATTAACCAGCCATCCATGGGAGGAAGGTGAGGCTATCTGCCCCTGTAGGGGTTGACGGCCTTGGGTGTAAGGGTCACTATGAGTCATAGTCATGAGTGGTAGTAGGTTTTGGGTTTGGGTTTCTCAGGAGCACTAGTCACATTGTTTAGAATGTTCAGTAGCCACATGTGGCTGGTGGTTACTATATTGGGCATTGCAGATAAAGAATATTCTCATTCTGGTTTATTGCATAGTTCCTAGTGTCTTAAAGACTTGTAAATGGCCATCCAAGGCATATAATCAGTCTCCCCGATGGCCTAGTAGGGTATGCATTGGGCTGTTAACTGCACGGTTAGCTGTTCAAACCACCAGCTGCTCCTCGGGAGAAAGATGAGCCTGCTGCTGCTGTAAAGGTGTAGCTTTTGCTCCTGTAAAGAAACCACAGGGATGGTTCTGTGTGCTGTCGAGCCACCATGAGTTGGAATTGACTTGATGGCAGTGAGTTTTGTTTGGTTGTATTTTCCTCCTGGAGCAGCAGGAAGGAGTCAATAGGAGAAAGAAACTGTGGTGATGATTGTACTACTCTTCTTGATGTTAGTCAACGATTGAATTGTATGATGTATGAATTATATGCCAATAAAGCTGTTGGGGGGAAATATTTAAAAATAAGAGCAAGAAAGGGAGTGTATGTTTAATTGCCCCCATGAACAACTTCATTCTTTGTCATGAGAGCAGAAGTGGGTGGTGCCCCAGCCATCGTTTTGAGCATTATGAGCAGAGGTTCTAGAGAGCAGCGGCTCTCAGCCTTCCGAATGCCACCACCCTGGAATGCAGTTCCTCAGGTTGTGGTCACTCCCCAACCATAACATTATTTTCATTGTAATTTCACTACTGTTATAAATCGGGCGACCTCTGTGAAAGTGTCATTCGACCCCCAAAGGGGTTGCAACCCACAGGTTGAGAACCACTGCTATAGAGGAATCCTCATCAAAAGGGGTAAAATACAGAACAGAATTCAAATTCATATGGACGCCAGACTTTCGAAAGCCAAGGGGGTTGGGTAAATCCTTTAAAGCATTGCCCTGAGATAATCTTTAAACCAGAAATATTCCCTGAAGTATTCTTCAAACCAAACAGTAGTTTAACTTTAACTAGAAAAGAATGTCTGCCTTGAGCATTGTGCTCTTTTAAGAACCATCTGTATGGGATCAAATTGATAATAGAGACGGTAAAGATTAGATAGGAACCTTAGGGAATCAAGTGAGTTTATGCCAATGAGGGAGAAACAACCTGGAAAAAGGTGGTGAAATTGTTGAATTGGTTCTGCTGTGTATATTCTCAACAACAGCTAATATTTAAAATTACAAATAGATTGCAGAGCTAGTTTAAAGCAAGCTCCTGCGCCATTTTCCATGAAGGAGGGAATAACAATTTTGTGTGGAGAAGAAAGTCTTAGCTAGAAGAGAGGGTAAAGACCCTGGCAGTTTGAAAACTGTAATTCAGAAATTTGTAAACTAAACATTTTTCTGCAGAACTTTTACACCATGTTGCAATCATACTTCATTCATTTACTCCACTGTTATTTGTTGAGCACCTGCCTAACAAGTAATGTTTTAGATCTTGGGCCTAGTAAGAAAAATAAGATAGATAACAGCCCTTATTCACTTATCTTCCTAGGGTTTAGATTATTGCTTCAGAGTGGGAAAGAATTAACCAACAAGCAAAAAATAAGTAAAAATAAAACTTAGAAGAATTGTCGGTAGCCTGAGCGCTGTACCAGGAATTGAAATGTGAGGGTGTTAGTGAGAGTGACTGAATGGGCTCTTTATTTTTGCTAATCAGGTAAAACCTTTGTGAATGAGGTAGGCAGCTGGGATCTTCCCAGTGAGAAGGCACGAATCCTCAAAAGGTCCAGGCACAGAGCACAGACAGTATACCAGCTACCGGGAGGGAATAAGCGTGGCCTGCTGAGGAATAGAAAGAAGCTTGGTTTAACTAGAACTTGGTGGAAAAAGAGTAATAAGAGATGTGGCTGAAGAGATAGCTGGGGCCTTTTAATCTTGTAAACTATTGTTTTTGCCTTTTTTTCCCCCTACGTGTGACATTGAACTCCTGGAAAGTTCTAAGCAGGAGACAGACCTGGCATTTTAACTTTTAAACAGTTTCGTGGGTGACTGTATAGAAGGGTCAGTAGTGGAGAGTAGACTTGTTATCAAAACTATATCAAGACAAGAAATGATGATGGATTTGATTAGGTGATGATAACGAAGACGCAAAGCACTAGACAATTTCAGCACATTTTGGCTGTAAACAGTTCTTGTTATAAATTTGAAGTGAGGTATGAGGAAAATTGAAAATTGCATTTTATTATACAGCTCTAAGTTCCATTTCAGATCTGATTCATAATTGTCGCACGGGCACTAATGTATTTTCACCAAAGAATAATAATAAGCAGATTGCGCCTATCCACATTGAAGCTATGAAAGCAGAAGCTTGTGCTCATCGCTTTATTAACTATCAGCGATCGGGTTTCTAAGGTTAGGGTTACGTTACAAACTGCTCATCCCCTGTGGGCGTCATTGGACTGTTCCACTAACATGTCCAAGAGGAGAGTAGAATGAAAGTGCTATGGAAATAGCATAATATGTCTTTTTAAGTTTATGCTTATTCTATTCTGTATGTTCATGTTTATATTAATTTAGAATATTTTATAAATTACTTGCATCTTTCCCCCTAAAAGCTGGAGCTCTAGGAGAATGTACTGTGATTAACCTGCACTTTTGTTCTAGTTTGGAGGGGGGGGGTTGTTGCTTTATTTCTTTAATACCTGATGGCACCCAGCCATATATCCTTTTTGTGAAGGCCAGAATCTACCACAGAGCATTTGCAGTGTGGTACAGTTAGAAACTGTAGCTAATAAGGAGAACTATACCTAAACACAGCTGATTTCAGAGACAATAAAAAATAAATAACAATACCTGACTTTAGAATCCTCGTTTAAAATTAAAATCTAAGAACTGCTGCACTTTGTGATATTATTCCAAAGACATCTGAAGAAGGCTATTCCTTTTTTTCTTTCCTTTGAGATCCGTCATTGAACAACTAAGGAAGAGATCACAGTTCTGGAACTGTATGTTTCTATTGGAATCCCCAAGTGGCTCAAGTGGTTAAGCACTTGACTGCTCGCTGAAAGATTAGGGGTTTGAGTCTACCTTGAGGCAGTGTGAGTTCATTCAAAGGTACCTCAGAAGAAAGGTCTGGCGATCTATTTTCAAAAAAAATCAACCATTGAAAAGTACGGTATTCGGTCCTATTCTGGCAAATAGGTCACTATGAGTTAGTAACTTTGTTTTGTGTCTTCTATTAGGTTTTACAGGTCACTTGATGGCACAAACACTTTGCGCTTGAGGGGCCTTTCAAACTCACCTAGTAGCGCCACTGACAAAGACCTGCTGGTCGTCTGTGCGGATTTCAGCCAAGAAAACCCTGTGAAGCAATTCTGCCATGAGTAGAAATAGAATCAGTAGCAGAGGATTTGAGGTGGGTTTTTTGTGTTCTGTTTTTTTTAAGCTTGACCAATAGCCAGTTTAATTCCATTTACTTTAGAATTTTCTGAGCCAAACTGTTCTGAAAAGGATCACATTAGAAGGTCCTAGATAAAGTGAGGGGGGGGAAGGTGGAGCAAAACTCAGTATCATTAAAAAAAAAAAAACAGACTGCCTTGTCAGATAAAGACTGGAGGTACCCCCAAATTATGGCCCTTCAGTCACTCCTCAGGTCTGGAACTAAACCTCACCCCTGTGGCTCTGTTTTCAGCTGAACAGTACACGGGTCTCTAAGGGGAACAGTCACTTTAGGGAAGTACCCACACCTTAGAATAAGCAACCACCTAAGATCAAAACCAGTTCACAATAAAAGGCTTTTTGCTTTTGTTTTCAAAGAATATTTGGGGCCAACCTTTTGCAACTATGCTGTACGGAGTAGAATTGGTATCTTGATGGACCCTTTGTGTGCTATATATTATAAAATTCAAACAAGCAAAACACAAAAGCCATTTTCTGCAGTGTTACAGCCAGTACTCACTTGAATGGCCATAAAGCAATCTTCTCCTTGTGGACTCCTGTCCCTCTGTGGATTGGCTGTCAAATTGTGAGTCTGATTTCAGCTGGTGGCCTTGTACCCACCACTGGACAGTATTCATAGTTATTTGTTGAAGGCTTGGGGGTATAGATACTGTACCTAGGGAAGCTTGCCTGAGGCGCGTGGGAGAATTCCCCTTTCATAGTTACAAATGCTCTCAGATCAAGTCAGATCAGCAGTAAGCGAACCAAACTAAATGCATTGTCTAAAGAGGAGTCCTGCTCATAGCAACCCCAGAGGGCAGAATAGAAAGATTTCTATTCATCAGATTTTCAAGGTTGCCATCTTGACCAACGCAGACTGCCACATCTTCCTTCTGTAGAGCAGCTGGTAGGCTTGAACCCCCAACCTTCCTAGCCTCCACAAGATAACTTTTACCCGATTGCTCTGTGTATTTATTTGCTACGGGGCTTGATGTTAAAAATCACAATAAAAAAACTCCTATATTGAAAAACAGTCCTGTAGAACTATCACATCAATTATAAGAATATTATGAGGGGAAAAAAATTTAAAAAAGAATATTATGAGGGAAGACTATTACACAACATGTCTCTTCAAGATTTCTTAAGAGAAAACTTTTTTACTTTATTACAAAGATTATTTTGACTTCTCCTGTGAAGTTGCTGTGTTTTGAGTTTTCTTTTACCTTTTGGGCATTGTGAATGTTTAACTTACACCCTCTGGTTAGCTGCCAAAAAGCTTAGAACCAAGTTTGTGGCCCACCTTTAACAAACGTACTCTATGCCTCAGTGACTTCATTCCTGGCTGCAGTTTATTTCTCTGCTCCAGTTGTTTTTACTGCTTGAGAAAACTTTGTTTCTGAAGTAGTTCAGGCTGTGATATCCCATATACACATAAAGCTATCTTGGGTGCTTCTTGGTGCATTTATTTTAGCTTTTTATTTTCAGGGATTTTTTGTTGGGGGCGGGGGGCAGTTAAGTCTTACAAGGTTGTCATTACATGTTAGACCACAAAATGTTAAGCTTTTAATAGTATAACCAAATGATTAAAAAAACCTAGCTTCATGGCCAGAGTTGATTAAAGTGATATCATAATTACTAGCCGATTCTCTGATAGCAGTGTTACTGGCCTTCATTTATTTATTTATTTATTTATTTGATAGCTTGCTTTGTTTTGTGCTCATAATGTACATGACAGATTTTGCTGTGTAGTTCTTAGCAGTATCGTTACATGTCAGGTCCACATACAGCACTTCACTGTCAGTCGTCTCAATGTGATGTTGCTTTCTTACCCCTCAGACTTCTTGTACGAGCACCCTGCTTTGGGTGATAGCAAGCAGATTAATACCATCGTACAACTTGGGTTGTCACTGCCTTGAGGTTCTCATGCTTTTGTCTGGGCAAGGACATATGAATGGATATTGGCTTCCAAATCCCATATGCTTTGATTGGTTCAGAGCTCTCCTGGATTTTTCTAATTATCTTAGGAATATCATCCAATTGATAGCATTATTTATACAACATTGCATAGTCTTAGAGTGCCTTTGAGAAAAATTACTTGGCCCTCTGTAGAAGTCACAAACCTTTTTCACTGATGACAAAAACAAAACAAAACATCAAGGTCAAAACCTTGTTAAGTATTTAGCCCAAGATGATACCAGCAAATTGGTGGTGGAACTAGGTTAGACCTTAGTCTCCTGATTCCTATGCTACACTACCTTTCAACAAACATAATGTTGAACTTCTATCACCAACATTACTAGACTTTATCTTACCCTTTAAGGTAAAGATGTGAAATGGGAAAAGACAAGTCATAGCACCAAGGCAGAATCAGGAATGAGTTTCATTTGTATTCCTCTCCTCACTTTCTGTTCTTCTCACTGGCCGTTTCACTGCTACTTTCCATTATGGAATGAGGAAGCAATAGTTTACCTATCTCCTGAAAATTAATGTTGAAATGGAAACTGTTTCCCTTGGTAATTAGTGTTTTTTTCTTCAGACACTTTGAAAATAAAAATATAAAAATAATGCCATTGTCTGCACATTCATTAAAGAGCCAAATATATACAGTTAATACTACAGTGTTTGGTAAAACATTTGCTATAATTTTAACCAATCCATTGGAAGGAGAGAAATGAAATGCTTACTGTTTTAGCATGGACATTTTCCAAAGATTTAATTCTAGCTAATTGTTTGCATAGCACCTAAGGTAGACATCAGATTCAACAGTAAATATTGTCTGCCTCTCTTTCAGTTTCTAGAATTTTGGAGCAACTCTGGCCAGGAGAAGATGGACCCCGTGGTCCTGAGTTACATGGACAGCTTACTACGGCAGTCAGATGTCTCCCTGCTGAATCCTCCGAGCTGGCTCAATGACCAGATCATTGGGTTTGCCTTTGAGTACTTTGCTAGTAGTCAGTTTTGTGACTGCTCTGACCAAGTCTGCTTCATCAGCCCCGAAGTCACCCAGTTCATCAAGTGTACTAGCAACCCAGCCGAGATCGCGCTGTTCCTCGAACCCCTGGACCTCCCCCACAAGAAAGTTGTGTTTTTAGCCATCAATGATAACTCCAATCGGGCAGCTGGGGGGACTCACTGGAGTTTGTTGGTTTATCTCCAGGATAAAAATTGCTTTTCTCATTACGACTCCCATAGCAGAAGCAACTCAGTCCATGCAAAGCAGGTAGCTGAGAAACTAGAGGCTTTCTTAGGCAGAAAAGGAGACAGACTGGCCTTTGTGGAAGAGAAAGCCCCTGCTCAACAAAACAGCTACGACTGTGGGATGTATGTGATATGTAACACGGAGGCCCTGTGCCAGCACTTCTTCAGGCAGCAGCCGGACGCCCTGCTGCAGCTCCTCACTCCTGCCTACATCACCAAGAAGAGAGGAGAGTGGAAAGAACTCATCACCAGACTTGCAGAAAATTAACTGCAGAGGGTCTGTGCAGCTTTTCAAGTGTCTTTCTGCCAGTCCCCAGTTTCTGGTTGACGGCAGTCTCAGTGCCTAAGGGAAGATGCCTAATAAAGGAAAGCTTTAGTAATTCTATGGTTTTACCCCCAGTTGTCATCTTCTGCATTGTCCTCCTGAAAGTTTCACTCTCATGCTCACTTGAGAGCAGTATATTCTGTGGCAGTGGCTTGAAGTTATCCACCCAAACCTTAAAAGCCTCGTATCACAGTAATTATTACACATGGCTTTCAAGTAAGGCTTTTCCTGTTGATATGAAAGTAGTTCCCTTTTGGTCTCCTCTGTCCATATTGGCCTGTTCCAAAGAAAAGTAGATCACAAAACATGCAAAATGGAGATGGGTGAACCTTAGTGAAAAGGAAATGACAACTTGGTGACGAGGAGAAAACGATAGAAAAACCAAAAACCTGTCGTACTCTCTACGTGTCTGAAGAGATCAAGGGGCTGGAAACAGAAGAAGGCCTAGTAACCTCAGGGTCAGCTGCTCAGTTCTGTGATCGCTTCACCTTTGCAAACATTTGGTAAACCATGTTAGCCCTTGTTCCCCTCCATCTAATTCCTGGAATGCTTTAGGAAAGGAGGGATCTTGAGTAACGTCATTAAAGTAAATGGCTGTGGTGGGCCCTTAGTTTAGGCTGGGACTTGCTACTCTGGGTTGGTAACAACTTTTGCTTGCTTTGTTTGTTAGCCATGTACCCACTCCCTCCTTATCCCCAAAGCTCTGTGATTGTAAAAGCCGTAGCTGATGACTGCCCAAGATTACCTGTTATTTCATAAAATAGTCTGCTTGCTTCTTTATCCTTAATTGTCAGGGTCGTGTTCAACTATTGCCAGGGTGCCTTCGGGACTAATATTATGCCTGATATTTACAGACTTGTTTGTTTCTGAGAATGGGAAGGGGGAGGGAGTTACCTTTCTCAGCTCTTACATTTGATTCAAACTGCAGGCAATGTCATTTGTAAAATGTGGAGCCAAGAGGAAAGAGAAACGCTATCCCTCCAAAGGCTTCTCAGAGTTGTTTCAAATACTTAACAAGCAAAGGCTGTCTCTAGTATGCACGTCAATTCTAGTCCCAATGAGGAGGCGATTGCAATGTGTAAGAGACTTGAAAACCAGAGATTAGGCTGAGCTCCCTCACCAGCCGAACCCCGCCCCCAGCCCTCCTGCTCAAAATAACCTTGCCACCCAGTGGCCACGAAAACAGTAACTTCAGTTCCTTTTAGCCAGGGAGGGAAAACACAGTTAAGTGTAGATAAACACAGGTTATAGAGCAAGCCTGAGTGACACAGCTGCAAAACTGTTTCTATGCCAAGCCAGTATTTTAGGGGGAAATAGCACGCCTAATGGAAGGAGCAGGCCTGGCCTGCGCTTCACTCTGTTGTACATAGAGTGGCTCAGCATCAAACCTACTGGAAGACACCTGACAACAGTTGGAAGGTGGGGGACAGGAACACGATTAGGTACTAGCAACCAGCCATGGAGATGAAACGGAGGGACACAGGTTGGTGATAGGCCAGGAGTGTAGATAACGAGAAGAAAGCCATACTATTTCAGTAACTATTGACTTAGTCTAGACAACGAAAGAATCAAATCCTCCCTAGGATACATTGCTGTCTTTTCTGATAATCCAAAGTGTGTTTGCTTAAGTGTCAGTATCTCATTTGCCAGTTAATACATCTGAGAGCATTCTTTCCTAACTTGTTAAGATTTGCCCCAGAAATAATTTATCTTTTTAATGAAGCTAATGAGTCTTTTTTAAAAGAAAGATAAAATCTTACATTTTGTGTCCCAAATACCCGGCTTGATATTGGACAGTCCCCACAGGCTAGTCACCTCTAAAGCTTCGAGTATGCTCTGTACAAGTGTCAGCAGTATTGAATGACAGGAGAATTTAAAACCAAAACCAAATTCCAAACTGCCATTGAATCCATTCCAGCTATGGTAGCCTGATAGGATAGAGCAGAACTACTTGGGATGTCAGACTAAATCTTCACAGGAGTAGAGAGCCTCATCTTTCTCCTGTGGAGCAGGTAGTAGGTTCAACTGCTGACTATGTAGTTAGTAGCCCAACATCGCAACCCACTGTCCCAACAGGACTCCTAATGGTCCACTTAGAAACAGCTGCACTGTCATCGGGCCCATTCTGACTTGTGCCAGTCCGCTACAGCTTGGGTTTCCGAGACTGTTTATGGGAGTAGAAAGTCTGTCTTTCTCCCACGGAGCCGCTGGGGGTTTCACACCTCTGACCTGGCAGATTACAGCCGAGGCATAACCATTGTGCAGCCAGGGCTCCTCTAATGTTTCATAAGATACTACATACATCTGCTTGGCCATCCACCATTGATGTCACTTGCTATAAAAAAGGACAAATATAAAATCTTTTGCTGGTATTATGCTCCCTTCTCTCTTGGACTAAAAAGGAACCAGTCTGTAAGATTCAGCTTCAAAGTATTTAAATGGAAAGGGTAATCAAACTTTGAGCAATTAGCAAACACTGAACTATGTGCTTTCAGATATCCTGTTGTCATCCCATAACTATAGTCACATTGAATTATGTCTCAAAACCCAGCTGTAGTCCGTGGTCAAAACTAAAAGTAATTACCAATGAGTTTTCTATTTAATTCTGTATAAACCACATATATTTCTGTCCTTTGGCTGGGTACCTGAAGTTCATGAGCACTCCCTCCCTAATCAGATCATAAGAAGTAAAACACCTTAAGTGGGTTAATATCCCTGATATATTTTTTATGTTTGTTATCTCATTTTTGCTATATCCACATCGACATGCTTTAATACTACGAGACTCGATTGACAATGCACAGCAGAGTTCCCAGTGACAGTTATTTACTGATGCTGAAAATTAGAGCTGTTCCTTCTACTACTTGAAAGAGGAAAGGAGAAAACATTTACAGAAATTTGCATACTGTGCTATTGGAAAAAGCATGACATTTTAACCAGATGCAAATTCTGTTACTTAGAAATCTGTAACAAGTTTGAAATTCAGTAGCCTTATCTGCAAGATAAAGATAGTAGTTTAAGAGTTCCTGCTAACCACAGTCTGTTGTTCACAACCACTGGCTGCCCTGAGGTGGAAAGGTGCAACTATCTGCTTCAGTAAAGACTGACAGGAAACCTGCAGCTCTGTCACTATGAGTCTAGATCAGCTCAAGGGCAGTGCAATAAAGAGCCATGGTGGGCTGTGGGTTAGGCATTGGTGCACTGGTCCACTAACCTCTAGCTCAGTGGTTCCATCCCATCAATTGCTCCCCGGGAGAAAGATGAGGCTGTCTGCTCCTGAAAAGATTTCGTTTCAGAACGCCTGTATGAAGTCACTATGAGGTAGAATTGGTTATACATAGGCCTGGGATCTACTTTCAAATAGTCAATGATTAGAACCCTATGGAGCACATTCTACACTGACTCACATAGGGTTACCATGATTTGGAATTGATTCAACAACTGATTTATAAGGATTAAAATGTATATGGAAAACTCAGGCATGAAAATAAACATTGCCCTTCACCTCTACTACTTACTTCCGTTTAAGACTACTAGCAAGTTTAAAGACTTCAGGTTATGTAGCCCTGCAGCTAAACAACTGTACAAGTGGCTCATAGTCACCGTTGTGTACAAAGAAAAAATCAGGTGGTAAAGACTGCAAAATATATTAGCATCACCTAACCTTTACACTGCCAGGTCAGCGGTTCAAATCTACCAGTCCCTTCTTGGCAGAAAGATGAGGCTGTCTGCTCATGTGAAGATTTACAACCTCTGAAACCCACAGCAGCAGTTCTACTCTGACCTAAATAAAGGGTCACTCTCGGTGTGAACTGGCTGGATGGCAATAAGGGGGTGAATTTATACCACTCCACTGTTCAAGATGCTTTTTACAAAGAATGCTGATTTCATTGCTTTTCCTATGAACCAGCTGTTCTTTTTCCTATTTAATAGATAAGAAACCAGAAAAGGTAAATGACTTGAAAATGAAAAGTAGACAAAATCAAGAGTCAAATACAGCAATTAAGGTCCAAAACAGAATCAACAAGCTGTTTGTTATACGAGTGTGAAATTCAAGCATTGTGAAATTCAAATTTGGATTCATAGGAATAGAATCAAATGGAAGCTATTTACACCTTTTTAAAAAGTCTCAAATACAGGCCTATGGCTTAGCTTCTCCTCTCTTCTACTTAATCCTTTCTCTGTTGCCCAGAAAATAGAACTCCTTGCTTGAATATGTTAAAGCTCCTCCCTCAACTTTTAAAATTTTATAAATTCACCTGATGTTACAGGAGCCATGGTAAGAAATGTTTTATCTATTACCTGTTATTAGCAGAACTTACATGATAATTGACTTTGATTTATCTCATATTTGGATCAGTTCCTTCCATCGATCTATGGATAGAATAAGACATTTTAAAAGCCTTACATTTTACGTTCTGTGTTAAATCACCTTTCAGACTTCTTACCATGAGGAAGGGGAAGTAGGACGAGATTGGTAGCCTGAGGGAGCTCACAAAGAAAAGAAGGAGGTGTTGGGGGGACTTAAAGGAATCGCATCAAATAAATGTTACAAATAGGATATCTGACCAAAAGTGTAAAGATGGCGCTCTTAAGTTCCAAAATGAGGCAAATAAAATTCCACTGAGGAAAAAAATCAAATGTTAAAGGCACTTCAGTGAAATCCTGTGTAGGGAAAAACTAACATGTCAGAATGCTGAAGGAAGAATTTCAGTCTCAGAAGTAGGGAAGAGTTATCATTACTCTAGAAAAACTATTCGTCTCGGATCCTGAAATTTGAGTTAAAAATGAAGAACTACTTTTTGGGCAGTTTCCCTCCTTGTACCCAAAGCGACCAGTTTAGAACATAATTCTGAAGAACAAAGGCAAGTTGTCCGTGAACCTGCCGGAGGATGGCCTGTAGCCTCTTCTTCAAGTGAGCTCTTCCTAGTGCACTAGATAGAGAACAGGCTGCTGTCCTTGGACGTTCTCAGAGTCACGGCTTTCAGTGTTCCCAAATTCAGCGTTGTGTCTGTCTTTCCCGCTACACTAAGAGCCAGGGAAGCCATTGTTCACCATTAGATCCCTGCTGCCTGATCATTGTACCTGAGAAATAGACACTCATCATTTGTTAAATACCGTGTATTTCTTACAAATAGCATGCCCATGTAAATAACATGCACACACACACACACACATAGCCACATAGTGCACACAGCAAAGGGGTGTACACAAAACCCTAAAATGTTATTTGCATAGGGTAGATGAGAATTTAGAAACTATTCAAAAAGTTCATCTTTCCCTGCATAGAAGCAGAAATCCAAGTGCCTTGTTAATCAGACATTTTCACCCATAAGAACAGGCTATAGGGGAAGATGAGTTGAACTTAAGCAACCTTACTGAAAATAAGGAACTCAGTTTTTATGATTAAAAAGGATTTTTGTTTTTAAAAAAAAGGGAACTCAACAAGTAACTCCTATCAGGGACATCTCTTCAACTTATATGCTGATTTCTTAAGAGATTTCCACTGGGTACATCATTGTAATGCATGTGTAAGCATTTTTAATTCTGCTTTTTCGATTTTCCACACAATCATTGCTTATGTATTTGTTAGGTTTAAAGGTAACGGGGTTATACCAAGTTAATAGGTCATGATTTTCTTAGCCATATTTCCACGTTTGGGCTAGTTCTGATTTGCCATTGTGAATTGCAGTGCTGCAAATGATTCATAACTAGCTTTCACATTTTTTTAATTAGATACTTTTATTGGGGGCTCTTAACAGTTCCTATCACAATCTATACATTCAT